TCCGGGTTAGGCTGCCCTGGGCCGCGCGGGCTCTGGAGCCAGGCTGCTCGCGCCCCCGCCGCCTCTCACACGCACCCGCGGGCACGCTCGCTCTCCGGCGCCCGCAACAGGCGCCACGTCGCTGCCCGGTGCCGGAGGCGCCTACGCGCAGCGCGCGCACGGACACACTCTCAGGCGCGCTCACGGGAACGCGTTGCCCCCACTGCATCCCACGGGACCCCCATCGGGCCTCGCTCTCTGCTTGGGGCACACAAGCTCCGCGACACACTTGTTGGCCCGCATGTCCTGCACACGCACAGTCCCACTCGCAGACGAACACTGCCCCACATGTTATACACATGCACACTCCCCGAATATACATGTCACATATGAACTTTCCTATAATATGTACACTCACCTTCACACACGCTCCTTTTGACACACACACACTTCAGGGCGTGCACACGCTCCCGCACACACATACTCCTGCACACACCCACAGGGCCACATAATCTACAAACACACTCCCGTGCACACTCATACTCCCTGAACAACCTCATGTTGTCCTGCAGACATGCACTTTCCCATACATGCACACTCCCCACACATGTGCACTGTCTACACACGCGTGCTCTCACATTCACGCATATTCCCTGCACACACGCGTTTCCCAGTGCACATGCACTCTGCTTGCACTCGCGCTTGGGCCTGGAGAGCCAGGGCCTCCTGCTCCTCTGGAGGGCAGGTGCGGGGCTTTCAATTTTCCCCAGGAAGGTGAGTCTCCCTGCTGGCCAATAGGCCGCTCCGAAGGGTGTATTGGCCACAGTCCCCACGACCTCAAGTGGCCCGAAGAGCACTGTCTTCCGCAGCCCCCGAAGCAGGGGTCCGCTTCCCCAGGGGCCTGGCAGCCCCAAATTCCGGAATAGCCACCAAGCTGCCTCCCAGCCCCACGGACCAGTCCTGGGGGGCCCCAGGCGTGAAGAGGCAAGGGTCTGAAGTCCTGCAGGCTCCAGAGGACCCTAGGCCCGACCTGAGAGCAGCGTGACCAACAGGAGCGGGCACTAGCGTCCTCCGGGGATTCACGGGAGCGGAGGCAGGAAGTCCAGCGTCTCCCTGTGGAAGGTTCCAGAATCCCAGACGGGGGAGGGGGGTGCGGGGGAGCCGCACGTCTCTAGCTGCACTAACCCAACAGGTGCTCTTCTGCAGCCAGGAGGGAGGGGGGACTTGCTTGCCAGGTGCAGCGGTGCCAGTAGCGCCCCCATCTGGGCCAGCAGCACGTAGCTCCCAGATGCGTCCAGGAGGGACTCTTGGTTCCCGCCTGCGGCCTGCGGACTAGCCTGGGCATCCCGCCCGCGGACGTGGGCTCTGGGGTGACCCCGGACCGGTAGATGGGGTCCCGTCCCCTCGTGGGTATGCATTCCTGCCTGTCGGAAGTTGGAATGACACTGACCCCGAAAGCTCAGGGCCCGCGCTCCGCAGCCCAGCTCCAAGGCCTTCGCACGTCTGCCCCTCCCAGCGCCCAGCCAGGTACCCAGCCCCACCTACCCCACCTACCACCTTACACTGGGTCACGGGGAGCGACTTTAAGATTGCCAAAGCCAGCAAAGGCTCCCTTCTCCGGGAGACTCGCTTTTGTTCTATTAAAATAAAGCCAGAGGGTTCAGAGGCCGGTGCATCAGCAGGGGCTCTACCTAGGGCTCCTTTCAGTCCGAACCAAAGCGCTAGCGAGTCGCGGAGCCAGCAGGGCCGGCTGCACCGCGGCGGAGCCCTCTGCAGGGAGACCTGCTCCGGCTCGCCAATCCCCCACACACCCTGTTTCTTCTCCCATTTTCTGAACCCTTCTGGATCCCCTGCCTTGAAGGGACTGGCGAGGGTCAGCACAAAGTTTGCCCCAGACCGCGCCAGGGCTCCTGGGGCGGCTGTTGGAGCCACTGCAGTAGCTGCGGGGCAGCGGTGCCGGGCGACGAGCACAGCCAATCCCGGCGCTCTCCTTGCTGCATTGCAAAGGCAGAGCTTCCGTGTTCCCTATGGCAACGCCAACAACAAGCCTACACCGGTTCTGGACAAAGACATTTCTTACCCGACTTTATGTAGCACGACATGTTCTATTTTGCTGCATTTGGAGATGTACATGCAGATATTAGAGCGATTCTTTTATCCAAACAACCAGAAAGCCAATTCTGCTTTTTCAGAGAGGAGAAAAAAGTATTCACTGTATGGTATAGAGGCTTTGCCAGACCCCTGCCGGAATCCCATGGCTAGCGCCATGCATGGCAGCTTCAAATGTCAAATCCGGATCTAATGTGAGTTGCAGTGTGCTGACAACTTCTCTGTCACTAAAGCATATCAGGTGCCACCTAAGGTGGGACTCTGTCAAAGTCACAGGTGTAACAATTGTCCAGGAGCCCAGGATTGTCCACTAGGGGGTTCCATTGCTTTTAAATACATTTTACACACACACACACTAATACATATGTCAACACCTAATCTTAAACATATAAGGCACTCTCATGTTTTCGGTCCTAAGCTTACTGTTGATTTGTAACTGAAAGTTAAAAAAAAAAAATGCTACTTCAGATGGAAAATCTGGTCACAGAGTAAAGCACTGCTGTCTGGCCAGCTCAGCCTCAGGTGTGCACAGCCGTGCTGGTCTGGATATCCAGGGCTGCAGCCCCCCACCCGGCCCAGTCCCTGTGTGGGTCCCAACACAGAGCTGCGGCAGCAAGGGACAGGATGCAGTGTAAAATGCAGGAGCTGGGACATGGAAAGGCGGAGCAGACCCCAGTGTGCATGTACGAACTCCGTCAGGGGCCATGTCTGGGATGCAGAGGCCAAGAGAGAAGGTGAGACCCCTGGGAACCAGCCACGTAAATACGCTTCCGCTCTCGTTACATTTCTGCAGGCCATGTAGGAAGATAAAAGTACCCTCCTTTTAAGGGAACCTACTCTGTACACGCATGTGCGCACACACACACACACACACACACACACACACACACACACCACTTACCCAGGCTCTGGCACTTTCCAAACACCTCATGTAAGAACACGAGTCTGGGGAGAAGCCAGCTTCCCACTGGCAGTTTTGACAGGCACCAAATTTGACCTTTGCCACTCTGGATTTTGATCCAACCCTACCATGCACCTGGGAATAGGGTGCCCCACCCAGCAAAACTCACGAGAGCTGCTGTGCACATCTCCTGCCTTGCCGGGCCTCAGAAGCTGCAATCCTATTCCCCTTCCCAGCCCAGGGCTCACTGCCACCCCTTGTTTCGCCCGAGTCATTCAGCCCCAGCCCCGCTGCCCCTTCACTCTATAAGCAAAGGCTGTGCCTGGTTGCCCCTTGGAGGCCTAGCCTCGCACCCCATAGCCCGGAGGCACAGAAGGGATGAGGAAGGGACAATACTGAGGCCACACAAGGTCTCAGGTTGAGGGGATTACTATGCAAAGTGTGTTGTCGCTGTGAATAAATGCAGTTTGGCCCTGCCCCTTCTCTCAGGCCAAGGAGCAGCCTGGGTGTTGCACAGTCCCAGGAGGAAGCTGCCTCTTTCCCTCCCCTCTTCCTTAGCACAGGGCTAGGCAAGTGCCTGCCCTCCCAAGTTACCTCCCAGCGTGGAGGCAGAAAATAAACGGATCTGGGGCTGGTGAGATGGCTCAGTGGTCTAAAGCACCTACTTAGAACATTAGCAAAGCACAGGGACCACGGTTCAATCCCCCAGCACCACATGCCAGCCAGCCCCGCCCCCTGGTGGGCTGAGCTGGCCACACACACACACACACACACACACACACACACACACACTAAATAAATAAATAATTTTTAAAAAAAAAGAAAGAAAAGAAACGGATCAGGAAGGAATTCGTCACAGGAGCTTCTGAGAAGGAGAGGCAGGAAAGGGGGACAGGAGGCCTGCAAGGGGTTAAAAAGGTGGCAGATAAGGTGGCCCTGAAGGAAGAGGGGGTCAGAGAGGAAGGGGAAGCTAGATACACAGGAGTGCAGGTCACACACAGGACGGTTGGTTTTCTTGTTTGCTTTTTGAGACAGGAACCCCGTGTGTAGACCAGGCTGGCCTCAAACTTGTGGTAGTCTTCCTGCCTCAGCCTCCTGAATGCTGGGATCATAGGCATGAGCCACCATGCCTGGTTAGGTTTTCTCTGCGATGGTCACCACTGTAGTTTCATCGACAGCTTGTTGTCTATACTTGGTCTTCATTTTCTTCCAGCTAACCAGCACAGACTAGGCACCAGGCAAACTACAAGGGCTGCAGGACGCTGCCTCGATGTGCTCGCAGGCAGGAGGGGAGGGGGTGCAGGTTGGCAGGGGTGTACAGATGGGAGCCAGCAGGGAACACCCTGGGCATTCAGAGAAGTGTGCCCTGCTGACCCACATCTGGGGGATCTGTGAACACCACCAAGGTCCTGGGCACCCCACTTTCAAATTGCAGGGAGCAGATGAACCAGGTACCCATAAGCCCCAAGCTGGAGGTTGCCACCTGCCTGACCCACCTGTTGGCTGCATGTTAGATTTTCTCAGTTTCAACTCTAAGTACCCCAAAGATATGACCCGTCCTATCTCAGTCTCAGAGCCAAAGGAAGAAGAGGACCCAGGCCCTGGTGGGCACATGCGAACCCATGGCACCTGGCTCTGTT